CAGGGTCAATATTCATACAGTCCCCGCCACAAACCTCCAGTCTCCACAGGCAGCATCATTTTCCTCAAATGGGAGATATTTTGTCTCAGCCGGTCGTTTAGGGACTAGCTTTTAAATGCGAGCATTTTTGTATGCTATTTGACTCATTTGTTTAGTCTCTAAAGCTAATGCAGCAAATCTGGCTTTCAGTAATTATTTGAACTATTTCTTTAGTAATAACATTTTATTGTGTGCATCTTAAAAGCAGATTCAAAGTTTTGTTTTGGAATCTGTGGGAACACTGTTGTTGACTTAACAGGTACATTAGGATTGGATATCTGTGGAATGTGATGATGGGGAATGAGGTCAACTGTACAGTATATACACTCACATATTCTCAGGGGTCTTGAACTAGTGCTACAAAGTCTTATTATTTGTCTCCCCCTAGTGGTCATAACTGTATTGATGTAATCCTCTGTTCCTGATTTTAATACTTCCAGCCCGCTCCTCCTGAGGCCCCCTTAATATTATTTTTGCATACTAAAGAGCTGATGAAATAAATCAGGTTTGCTAAATGATCAAGACATCCAAAATGCACAGTGCTGGAACCAGGAATGAGATCCACTAATTTGTATGAATGCCTGTAAGAAATATACTGCATGCATGATATACTGCATGCAGTGATTTGACTCATACAACTAATTAAATGAAAAAAAATCGAAGCACATGCTGTACACAAGGTTAGAAAAATCGCACACTGGACACATATCCTAGCATATGCATAAAAAACAAAGTATGCTTTGGGCTTGACTAAAAAGTTCATCTAAATGTAAAAAAATAAATAAATAAAAAATTTGGGAAATGCCAATAATTTATAATATTAGCACAATGTGTTCTCATATTTTTGTCTCTGACTGTTCTGGGCTTTTGTAAGCAAAGTTGAATATGTTTTATCAAAAGACAGACAATTTCTTGAAATGCCTCAATATGAAGTGTTACATACCTATATATAAAGTGATATTGATTCTCTGTTTTTCTTTCTGTCTGGTCTAGGGGTCTCTCTGCAATGGGCCCGGTACCCTTAACGCTCCTGCTTTGCGTCTCAGCACTGGCTGTGCTGGTGTCTGCAGCAGTGGACGATCCCACAGGTGACGATGACTACACCTGGCCACAGAGGAAAGTACCACTGGTACAAGAAAAGCAAACAGTGCACCTGGGAAGTTCTGAGTTTCTGGCCAAGCCGCAGACTGAGCTCCACGGAATATGTGGCATTGAGTGCCAGCGGGGTTTCCCAGAGCCCAGCCTGGACGATCTGGAACAGCTACTGTCCTATGAGACCATGTACGAAAACGGAACCCGCACGCTCACCACCGTCACAATACAGGAGCTAAATGTGAGCAACGACTGGATGGGAGGTTCTGGGTTACATACTCGGCGCAGACGAGAAGTCTACGGCACAGACACACGGTTTACCATCGCCGACAAGCAGTACTCTTTGAAGTATCCATTCTCCACATCTGTGAAGATCTCCATAGGGTGTTCTGGAGTGCTGGTGTCCCCCAAACACGTCCTGACTGCGGCTCATTGCATCCACAATGGTACGGACTACCTGGATGGGGTACAGAAACTCAGCGTTGGTGTGCTGAAAGAACGTTCCCGTCGGAAAGGGAAGGGACGGAAAGGGAAAGGACGGAAAGGGAAAGGCCAGATGAAGCGTAAGGAAGAGGAGGAGGAGGAGGAGGAAATCAATGAAAATATAGAGATTGGAGAGAAGCAGGAGCGTGAGAGAAAAGGCAAAGGCAGGAGAAACCGTAGTCGCCGCAGCACCACCTCCGAGCAGCCCTCGTTCCGATGGACCCGGGTGAAACAGATGCAGGTGCCAAAGGGCTGGTTTAAAGGGATCTCGGAGAACATTGTGGCCGATTATGACTACGCCATCCTGGAGCTTAAACGGGCACAGAAGACTAAGTACATGGATTTAGGTGTTATCCCCTCCATCAAGAAGCTGCCCGCAGGACGTATCCATTTCTCTGGATTCGACGACGACCGGCCAGGCAACCTGGTGTACCGCTTTTGCTCCGTGTCTGAGGAGTCCAACGACCTGCTGTACCAGTATTGTGACGCCAAGCCCGGCTCCAGCGGCTCGGGTGTCTACATTCGGCTCAAAGAGCCTGGCAAGAAGAAATGGAAGCGGAAGATCATTGGAGTGTTCTCGGGTCACCAGTGGGTGGATGTTAATGGGATGCAGCAGGATTACAACGTGGCCGTGCGAATCACGCCCCCCAAGTACGCACAAATCTGCCTCTGGGTCCATGGGGACTCCAGCCAGTGTCGGGGCACCTGAGAGACTCCGTCAGCGTCAGAGTCAGAAACCCTTGTGCCTCCCATTTGTGCACTACACAAACTGCTGCATTCATCAACACTAAAGACTATAACACACCTACCATTGAACTTTTCCAAGCTATTTTGATACCTTAATTTATTTTATTAGACAGCTTTTGTTATGAATCAGTTAGAGCGAATGTATTTCTAGATTCAGTTGTCCTAACGAGAACTAATTCTGTCCTAAACTGTCATTTTGAATTAGAAAATGTACTTCAGTCAGTGTTGTTTGATATGGGAGGCATTTGTTTTGTCTGGTAATCTGTCTGGACACCTTGAAGTAGAAAGCTAGATGACTAGTTGACACAAGAAAAAAAAAAACTTTTTTTTTTCTGAGAGAAAAAGCTTTGAAGTTTATTTGTGGATTTTACTTCCCTTTTTCTTCTTGAAGAACACATTTGAGTATCAATGTGCTGGTGTTCTTTGAAATACTTTGTTCTTGTTATCATTATTAAAGGTTATGATTGTGTGCCTTTGATAGCATAAACTGTAACCTGTCTTC